CGGCACTGCAGAGGCTGCGGGCAGCTTCGCAACCCAGCGCTCAACCGCTGCGCCATCGGGGAGGCCCCGTTCTTTTCATTTTAATGATAAAGAAACTGAGCAATGTGTCAGGGCACAGTTGGCTGCAAATAAAGAAACTAATGGGTGCTTAACTGAACAGGAATTTATTTTACTCACATGACACATGTATATGGTCCCAGGATTGTCCGCAGCCCAAATAAAGAATTAGATTGAAAAGTCTGAGATATTCTTAGTATTTTCTTCATTGTTGCAAGATGGCTGCCATAGCTCCAACATCACATCCTCACTTAATGAACAAAACCGGAAAGAAGGGAGAATGACAGAGGGGAAATACAAGAAAAGGGGCCTTCTTTATAGAGGAAAATCTTTCCCAAAAGGACTTCAGAGATGTCCCTTTTCTTTCTCCTGCCTGGGAAGAGGTCACACGTTTGCTCCCAGTTGCAGTGGAGGTTGCCCAGGCAAGTATTTAATAAAGGGCAGAGACGCTGCCACAACTGATCCATCCTCAGACTGAGCAGGATTAGAACCCCAACCCCCTCTTACTGATCTCTGACTGGGAAGAACCTATGTATTTTGGAATAGTAGAGGCTGCTGGGCATTTAATAGAGTATCAGAATCCTGTGCTAGTTTATGCTCTTCATGTCAGCCATAGTTTTCCTGTGTTCTCTTCTGGAGACTGAGCAAGCTTGTGTGTATTGTTCAATTTTAGTCAGTGAGATATGACAGAAAAGCTGCTGGATGATTCTGAGAAAAGTTCCCTCACTCTAAAAAAAGATGTATCCACGAAGAGGTGATCTCATGTGGCTGCTGTCATGTCTAGATGATGCCTGTGACAGTCATCTTGTGACCATGATGGGAGCTGAACTGAGAGCAGAGTTGGACCACTGGGGAGGGCAGTGTGGTTAGGTGGAGGGGACTCTGTTGATGTCACTGCAGTACTGAACTATTTGGCATTGGACTGTCCTTACCTTGCAGTTTCTTTGTGCAGGACACCCATGTCCCTTAATGTTTAACCCCCTTTGAGTTGGGGCTTCTGTTCCTTACAGCTGAAAATACTCTAACAAACCCATATGGTCCCCTCTACTCCATTTCCTGCTCCAAGGCAGGTGCAGGTCAGTACCAAGCAGCCCCACTCTGGAGGAAATCTTTTCCACAGTTGAAGCTCAGTCTCCTTAGCTGGCTGCTGATTACATAACCACTCTGCCCACCTCAGCCATAAAGCCAAGAACTGAATTCAAAACTCCAGGCAGTGGGGAGGAGTGGCTTGGAGGGAGGCGTTGTGAGGGCTGCATAAAGGAAAGCCATTCCTGACCTCCTGAACCTCTTGTGCTGCTAGCTATGGCCGTACCCAGCCCAACATCACCCGTCTTGGGAGACAATGCTAGCAGTCGCCCAATAGCTGCTGGGGGTGGGAAGAATGGAGGTGGGGTGTAGAAAGCTGGTACTTAGGTGCTGCAAGGGCCTGGAGCTGGCTCAGAATGGGTTTCCATTGAAGGAGTGTCACCATTCTGTCTTCACAGCTTGCCTGGTACAGGATGAATACAGACCAGTTAAGTACTTTTCTGGCAACTGATTATATAGATTTACTTCCATATGAGCTCTCTATTGCAATGACCCCGGACCCCAAGAGGGCCCTCTGCACAGAAATTTGTGTTGAGAACACTCCGAGCATGCTGGTCTTCTTGCTTTCTACGAAAGGGACTCTTTGGCAAGGAGAAGGGCTTAGGAGGAGGCACTTTTTGCAGACTTTTCTTTCTTGGAGGAGATGCTAGAGGGCCTGAATGTCCCCACGTCCCGAAGTTACTCATCTTTAGCTGCCGAGTGAAGTCTGAAAATTGCCGATCTGATCTGCCATCCCCTTGCCCAGAGACTCCAATGGTTCCTGCTGCCCCCAAGATTGCCAAGTCTGAGCCAGGTAGCAAGGAAATGTCCTGTGGTTCCAGCTTCAGGTTGATGAGCTTTTGCTTGTGCTGTTTCTTGTGTCAGAATTCCCTTAATGTGCCCAGGTGCTTATGTGACTCCAATGTGGCCATCAGAGTGAGAGGGATTGGCTCAGGCATGGGCATGTGACTCTGGCTGCAGAGGGTCAGATCTAGGTTTTTGTTGGAACCTCTGGGAAAGGGATATCCACACCCAGGTGAACTGGAAAGTATACAGCTGGCATTGCTGGCGACCCAAGAGGCTAAGAGTGAAAGTAACCCAGAGGAAAACAGATTGGAACAGTATCAAGAGACATCCTGATGACATAATATGAGCACCTGAATCCACCTACACCTGAAACCTACTCTGCACTTTTCACTTATTTGAGTCAATAAATTATCTTTGCTTAAAAACAAAACCAGAATTTGAGCTGGGTTTCCTGTCACTCACAAATAAGTCATTATAAAGGCATGACTCTAGAAGGCAGAATTATTTCTTCTACTGCTCCCCATATGCTATTCTTACCATGCTTACCCACTTTAGCAGTGTTTGCTGTTTCTTTTGCTACCTGCCCAACTGAATTTTCCCCTCATGCATGAGTGGACACTGCTGCAGCCTTGGCTTCCACTGGACCTCAGGTGTGGTTCATGATACATTATTTTTCATGTAACCTGTTACACAAGAATGTGTTCTGAGAAAATAGTGTCCCAAGTGATTTTATGCAAATGTCATAGATTAAAATGACATTGAGCACACCTAGGCTGTGTGGTATAGGCAATTGGAAACACATGTATATGTGTAGAGGCAGGACTGGACACAGTGCAGGTTTTCTTTGATCCCATGTAGACCGGGTAAAGGAGGAGTCAGAGTCCTCAGTGGTTTTGCAGGTTTTTATTGGGATTACCAGGTATACGGCAGACAGCGGGGCTGGGGGGCAGCAGGTCTTCACTCTATGGGCTCTCCGGCGTTCTCTCGGCTTCTGCTTCTCTTGCTTCTCTCTCGGCTTCTGCTTGGCTTCTACTGGTGTCCCTGTGACACGGCCCTTAAAAGCACAGTCTTAGCCCAGGTGAATCCCATCTACCTATGCCCACACCCTACTCCAGGTGCCCGCCATCAGGCATGCATTCAGGACCGCAAGGATCCATCATCTATCCTGATGGCGGGAGGGCAGAAAAGCCTGACATTTTTCCTTACCCTACAATATGCAAGTTCATTGTTGACTGAATCATTGTTAAGCGATGCATGACTGTTCTCAAGTGGAGTTAAACTCCTCAGCACATTATCTTTGACCCACTAAATCTCCCTTTAAAAAAGGATTTTTTATTTATGTATACAGGAACTGGGGTGCAGGCCAGAGTTACAGGGGGTGAGAGGATTCACCAGAGACAGAGTGGGGTGTAGAACAGGCAGATAGACCGAAATATACTGCTGAGGGGAGCAGCAGGCGAGGCAGGAGAGGTCTGCCTCGCCATGTGGGTCAGCTCTCTGGCAGGGGATCAAACTCATGCTGCAGTGGCTGCTGATAGCCTGATAGCACTAACTTTAACCCCTGTGCCACCAGAGAGGCCCTCTCCCTTCTTGTTTTACTTTCTTTCATCTCTGTACTCCACTTCCTCTGCCTTCCACACAGTAATGGTCCCCCCTCCCATTTTATGTATGCTTGCAAGATGGATATTGTCTTTGTGTTTTTTTATTTCTGCAAATGGTAGTCTCCTTGTTTTCAAACTGCTTCTCACTTTTTAAACTCAGCATTGTTTTAAAACCCATCCATGTTGCTGTGTGTGCATTAAATCTCTTCTTGCTGCTGCATAATCCTCCATAGTGTGAACTACTCGCACTTCCTGTTGTCCCAGAGATAGACACCTAGGGTGCCTCCATCAATCCCTGCTCCCAAGCCACCACAGTGAACATGGCAATACACACCCTATGGGCCTGTGTCAATTGCTTTTGTGCCTATAGCTGGAAATGAAATTGCAGTGTTGGTTTGTATGGAACGTGCACTGTTAACTAAGCTACTCCACAATGGCTATGCTGGTCTACTCTCTCACAGGTGTCCTCACCAACGCCCCCACATCTTCACCCAACCCACCCCTTGTCTTTATCCAGTTAAGTTTGACTCGTGTAACAGATACTGGTGTGTAACAAGTTACCACAAACTCAGTGGCTTAAAATAACACATTTTTTCTCTCCCATTTTCTGGGCACAGTTTAACATCCCCTTCTCACTTGATTAGGTTCAACCCACCTAGGAATCTTCCTGGTGCTAAACTTGATGACAACTGCTTAGAGGCTTTAATTACACCAGTCAATTCCCTTCACCTTTTCCATATAGTATAACCCAGTTAAGGGTTGACATCCCATCACCTTTGATACACTGCATCTGTTAGAAGCAGGGTACAAGCCCTGCACGTATCCACGGGGTGAGGCTTACTTAGGGGCTTGGGCACTGGGACTTATCTTAAAATTCTATCTACCGCACAGGTGTAAGATATTTTCCTTTTTAAATTGGGATAAAATATACAACATAACTTACCGTCTTAACTATTTCTAAATGCACAGTTCAATTGTGTCACGAATGTTCACACTGCTGTGAGACCCTCAGCACTCTCCCTCTCAAGACTACTTTTCATTTGCTCATGAAGAGCTCACTCCCTGGCAACCTCTTGCCAGAACCTTGCCCACCTCAGGCGACCCCTCACATCTCCAAGGGCCCCTAGGTACCTGCCGGGCCATGCTGGGAAGAGCACACTAGCAAGTGCACAGGCCCTCACTCATGAGCACTAAAAGCCAATCTCTTCCTGGGCTTCCCCTGGCGGCGCAGCGGTTGAGCGCTGGGCTGCGGGGCTGCCCGCACTGCCGTTAAGGGTCCCACAAAAAAACCAAAAACAAAACAAAAAAACCCCCAAACCAATCCCTTCCTCAGTCAGCTCCCCCTCCCCAGCTCAGGTGGTCAGCCAAGCCCTGGTACGGGTCACGTGGCCACACAGCGTGCTGCGTGGCGGAGGCGGGGCTGGGCACCGTGGGGGCGGGACTTCGGGCCCTGTGTGAGTTCCAATTGGCTGTTAGGGCTGCCTTCCCAGGCTGCTCGTAGAGGCCGCAGGTCTACCTTCCGGTCTGTGTGGCCTGTGCTGCTGCTTGGCGGGAGTTGGTGGCAGGTGTGAGGTAAGGACTGAGGTGCGGCTTTCGGTCTGGCCCAGGATTATCCAGGGCCTTTCCTGCTCAGAGAGCCGGGCTGGCGCCCCTTCCCAGGCCTAGTCGGGGTTGGCCGGAACCCTGTGGGGCCTGTATGCTTGGCGCGAATGAATCCCGCTGGGGCGCTCATGGCCTGAGGGCGGCCTTGGAGAGCCCCGCTTTTCTTTATCCTGTGACTCCTGGCACCCCAGACCCACAGAGGGGCTTCCGGGACATTCACCTTTGCTCAGGGGACGCTCACCGTGGGTCTGGTGAGGTAGAGGTTTCTGAGGGCCCCGGCCCCCATCCCTCACGTGGGCTGGCCGAGGGTGAAGAGGTCACCTTCAACCTGTGGTTCGTTGTGGGGCACGGACATTCCAGATGGAGGTGTGGGTTTGGATGTTACCCTGTGAGCACTCGCAGCAGACGCGGCTGTGCCTCGGGGCCGGGCATGGCGGGAGATGGCTGTGGTGGCAGATGGGAAGGCAAAAACAGCCAGCCGAGCCCTGTGGGGGTGCATGCCAGAGATGCCAAGCTTCAGGTCTGTTTTTTTTTTAAAAAGATTTATTTATTTATTTATTTATACAAGCACTGGGTACAGTCAGAAGGGAGGGAGGGTGAGAGAATTCACCAGAGACAGAGCGGGGCGGGAGGGGGTGGCAGAACAGGCAGAAGGACCGAAGTACACTGCTGAGGGGAGCAGCGGGAGGCAGGAGAGGTCTGCACGCCATGTGGGACCCTCACCTGGTGGCCGGGGATCGAACCGGCGCTGCAGAGGCCGCGGGCAGCTTTGCAGCCCAGCGCTCAACCGCTGCGCCACCGGGGAGGCCCCTCAGGTCTGTTTTTTAACAGTGTCCATTGGAAGCCCAGATTTTTTATGTAATTACTTGTCTAGCTTTAAATGTTAATTTTTAAAAAAAATTTTTTAAAAAAGATTATTTATACAAGAACCAGGGTACAGACCAGATGTGCAGGAGGGTGAGAGGAATCACTGGAGACAGAGCGGGGAACCGAACAGGCAGACTGACGAAATACACTGCTGATGGGAGCAGTGGCTGGACAAGAGAGGTCTGAGCGCCATGTGGGACCCTCCCCTGCTGGCTGGAATCGAACTGGCGCTGCAGAGGCTGTGGACAGCTTCACAGCCCAGCGCTCAACCACCAACGCTACCAGGGGAGGCCCTAAATGTTAATGTTAATTCATCAAGTTTTAGAATATTGCATAACCAAAGAAAATACATATGTGAACTATATTTCATCCTTTGGATGCCACTTTGCCATCTCTGGTAGCAAAGGAAGGGGGCAACTAGGAAGGAACAACAACATGGACAGATCCCCATTTGGGGACTTGGGCGCTAGAAAGTTACACCCCAGAAACTGACCTCTGAATTGTGTGTGCTGAGTAGTTGACTTAGTTGGTGAACAGATGTTACCCTTGGTTTTTGACCTGTTGGGGTTAGCACAGAACTAGTCAGATTAGATTTTGAGAGTGGGGATGATCTGAGGCTGGGGAGCTGACATCTTCCCTGAAAAGCAGGCCGGACTCCCCAAATTGTAGCCTTGACATGGGAGCTTCCTGCGCTAAAGGCCTGTGAATGGGGCTGTGAGAACATTTTCAAAGTGCATGTAGGATGAATCTATCAGAACGAGTGTACTTTAGGAATCGTTGTCCTGGTACCATTTGGCTTCATGGTTCTAAACTGGGCAAATTGGGAGAAGTTGAAACATCCAGAAGAATTCTGAAAAGATGTTACAGTCAGTCATCTAGCACTCCCTGGGTCCCTTCTCCGTGCAGAACAGAATGCAGGCATACAGAAATGAGTCAGTTGTAGCCCTTTCCTCAGGACACTTTAATAGAATGTATGGAAGTGAAATCTCAGTTTAGAAGAGGCTCCTTGGCCAACAAGCTTGGACCAGGGGAACCAAGGAAGACCTGGAGTGTGATCCATAGGTGACATGGGCTTTGGACCATGAGCAGAATTTGGTGGGAAGGCAGGGAAGGAAAGTACTCCTATGTGCGTAGTGTGGTGGGGGTAGCAATAACATAAATAACTGGACCAGCCCACCCATCAGGGACAAGGTGAGAGATCAGGACAGAGGGCTTTTTAGAGCTAAATTTTTGGATCAGGAGGGGCTCAGAACTGTTTTATATAAGAGGGATGTTATTGGTTCAGGGGAATATTGGGGTAGGGGGAGTAGGGGACTGAGGAGATACCAAGTAGGCTATTCTGCAGAAAGTGCTTTGTAAGAGGTAATTGATTGTGGAAAAATCTGTTTTGTCTCCAACTAGATGAGCATTCATTGGGAACACATGTGTGTGATCTATCTGTAATGTGAACTCTCAACTGCCCCTCACCTGGTGTTTGGACCACATTTCTGTAATGATGAGTCGATTAAGGGCTGTCCTTTGGTGTAGAGAAGATCATTAAACAGGACCTGATGGCTTTGTGGCAATGGTTCTGTTCCTCTTTGGTAGTCTTATGCATCCTCATTCCAATCCAGCCATATATTTTTTTTCCCTCTGAAGGGATCTGAGTCTCCCAGCTGTGCTGGGAGATGGCAGTTGGTTATTGATATGACAACCAATCTTCAAGTTAGCCGTTGGGAGCCCTTGAGCTGGACACTGTGAGACCTTTGAAGGATAGGTGGCTCCTTGGTAGGACCATCAGGTTTGGGATGGGGCTTTGATCTGGGTCAGCCCCAGCTTCCAGCCCAGGTTTCCACTACTACTGGCCTGAGTGTTGTCTGTTTCATCCCAGGAACCCCTGGTTGTAGCCCAGACTCCCATTACCCGCTCTAACCTTCTACCTCTTCCCAGGTCCGTTTCCTGTGGAGAAGGAGAGAGGTGAGGTGGCTGGTTCCCAGACCTTGTAGGCCCTTGTGGACACCATGTTGGACTCCAAACCCAGACTCCAAGCCCCGCAGAGGAGTAGTCAGAATAGCCGGGAGGTAGTATAACCCTTCCCATTCCCAGAACACCGTCTGCTTCCTTCCTCCCACCTTGTGCCCTTTACTCTTAGATCTTCCCTTCCTGTGCTAAGGACGTTGAGTCCTCTCATCTCTCCTTATGGCCATTTTCCAGACCAGCCTGTGGTCCTCAGGCTTTGGGATGAAGCTGGAGGCTGTCACCCCATTTTTAGGGAAATACCGCCCCTTTGTGGGTCGTTGTTGCCAGACTTGCACTCCTAAGAGTTGGGTAAGTGATGAAGGCTGTGCCCCCACCCTGGGAAGTGTGGGGTAGCTTGGTCTAGGGATCTGTGACTCTGGGAAACAGCTTCCTTTATATCCTTCCAAGCTCAGCCTTCCCCTGCCCATGCCTCTGCCCTTTCAAGTGATTGGATATACTATATTGGTTGTATTCTTGGCCTGTGGCTGGCCTTCAGGCCTGGGAGAGCTTGGTGGGAAAGTGCAGAGGGATCTGAGAGGAGGTAGGATGTGGCCAGAGGTTTGTGATCTGACCATGTCTACTGCATGAGTCCTGTTGTTCAGTTTTGGGGACTCTGCTCACTCAGCGTCCCCCAGCACTTAACACATGCTTCAGTCCTCTTTTGCATCCATGCCATCTGCTGATATTGATGAGAACCAGGGTTCTGGTGGAGATCCAGGCTGTTTGTTCTCTGCTGTTGACTATTGCATTTCTCAGAAACTTTAATATGCTACCCTGGTGCGGGCAGGGGTACAGTGGGAGCGGGGGGAATTCTCTGTAGAGAATGCGGCCCTTCCGTTATCATGATAGAACATTTCCTCCTGAGCTAGCTTTAGGATTTGGGGTCAATCTTTTGGGAAGGTTGTGTTATAATCCTGTCTTCTAGTAGACTTGATAGTTTATTAGGCAAAGGCCACAGAAGACAGAGCAGGGGTTTTCCTTTGCTAGTTTCAAAGGACCCCCCCAAGGACATGCTGTCTCTACTCCCTCTCGGGCAGGAATCCCTTTTCCACAGAAGCATAACAGATCTAGGCTTCTGCAGTGTGATCCTGGTGAAGGAGGAGAACACCAGGTAGATCAAGGGGAGGGAGGTGTGGGGGGGATGGGGCATGGAGGTGGGCAGGGCCCCTGGGTGCCAGGGGCAGGGCCCCTGGGGCTGGACCCCTGCTTAGTGGTGTCATTTTCTTCCTTGATGGAAAAAGGAAGGGCCTCTGCTCTTTTCTCTTAGCCATAGATGGGGTAAGGCAGGCTTACAACTCTCCTGTAGTTCCTCTTATGAGTATGTATGGCTTACCCGCTGTATGTCAGGCCCTGAACCTGTGCCCTGCTCAGCAGGGAGAGGGGTGGGATTGGGCCTGCTCTATAATAAACCAAGCTCTGGTGTTCTTGGGCTGTGAGCTTGGGGTTCCTGGGCAATGTACCTGGAGTGTGATCCCTTCCTGATGGAACAGCACTCTGTTTGCCCTGGTGGGGGTGGTGGGCCCTCTGGAAGCTCTCCTCCTCCCCTTCCCTGGGAACTCTCCCCAGGTTTCGGGGCTGGCTTGTTCGGAGGCTCTGCTATTTCTTATGGTCACTGGAGCAGCACATACCCCCATGTGATGATGCCCCACAGAAGATCATGGAAAACACTAGGTGAGGAGGCAGGGACTGGGGTTTGGTTGGCACTTCCGGGGTTTCTTGAGGAGATAAGGGCTCCAGGCAGGGTGGGTGAGAGGTCTGGCGGGCTGAGTGTTACTGTTGCCTGGGGCTCTTCTTTAAAGAGGGCGGGTGAAGACTGGAGGCTGGAGACTGTGCCCTGGGTGACCTGCTCCAACCTGTTACTCTTCTCTCACACTAGGGTGCAGAATGTCCTCTCAGGGAGGGCTCCAGGAGGGACTGGTGAAGGCCAGGTGCCCAGCCTTGTGAAGAAAGAGGTGCAGCGCATCCTGGGACATGTCCAGGCCCCATCCCACTCCTTCCTACTTAGGTAACTTTGTGCTGAGGGGCAGACTGAGTCCTCTGCCCTTCTGGAGAGTGGGTGTTGGCTAGGCTAGGGGAGGACTGGACTCTTCTTCTGGGGAGTCAGAGGGTGTGTTGGCCAGAGAGCCTGAGGGAGCCCTTGAGCTGGATTCTGCGAGACCTTGAAGGACAGGTAGCTCCTTGGTGGGATCATCAGGACTTGCTGCCCAGGGCTTCTGTTCTCTGCTCTTGATCCCAATAAATCGTGTTGTCATTCCCTACTTAAAACCTTTCAATTGGTTTTTACCACACTCAAAAAGCAGCCCAAACTTCTGGTCTGGCCCTGCACATCTGGTGCCTTCATTTTTCGATCTCATCTCCAACAGCTCTCTCACTTGTCTGTTTCCAACCACATCAACTTTTTAAAAAAATGTTCATTTATTTATGCACACAAGAACTAGGATACAGGCCAGAGGTGTGGAGGGTGAGAGGATTCACCAGAGACAGAGTGGGGAGCAGAAGAGGCGGACTGACTGACGTACACTGCTGAGGGCAGCAGCGGGCGAGTCAGGAGAGTCCTGCTGCGCTATGTAGGTTGCTCCCTGGTCGGCCTGGGATTGAACTCGTGCTGCAGTGGCTGCAGACAGCTTCATAGGTTGCATCTTAACCCCTTGCACCACCAGGGAGGCCCTCTTTTTTTAAAAAAATATTTATGCATGCAAAAACTGGGGAACAGGCCAGAGGTATATGTATGGAGGGGGGGTTGTGTGAGAAAATTCACCAGAGACAGAGCAGGTAATGGAACAGGTAGATCAACTGAAATACACTGCTGAGGGAAGCAGCAGGCAAGTCAGAGGGTCTGCTGCGCCCTGTGGGTAGCTCCCTGGCCTGGGATCTTGTGCTGCAGAGGCTGTGGTTAGCTTCATAGGTTGCATCTTAACCCCTTGTGCCACCAGGGAGGCCCCACATCAGCTTCTTGAGTAAAACCTCTCCTGGGGATAGGGCTTTGATCTGATTCAGTCCCCAGCTTCCAGCCCACTGCAGGCCTGGGTACTGTCTGTCCTGTGGGTAGGAATTAAGGGGGTTACCCACAAGAGCTCCTGGTTGTGGCTGACTCCATCTTTCTACCTCTTCCCAGATCAGTTTCCGGTGGAGCAGGAGAGAGGGAGGTGGTAGTTTCCCAGATCTTATAGATCTTATGCTTCTTCCCACATTAATCCTGCTGTTACCACCTGCTGCCTCCCACATTTGACACAGGTTTGAGCTTTCTTGGATGTAGGACATTGTTCCAAGGAATGAAGAGGTACAAGGTCAGAATGAACAGAGGTACACTTGGCAGCAGGAAGGACAGACTAGGGCTAGGACTAAGAATACCTAGCAGGAAGGAAAAGACCTGTAAGTCAGGGGCAAAACAAGGCAAAGGAGCAACCTTAGCGTATGAGGATGGGGGAAACAGGATGAGCTGTTGCCAGCTTTGCTTAAGGAGTTGATGTGGTTGGAAACAGACAAGTGAGAGAGCTGTTGGAGATGAGATCGAAAAATGAAGGCACCAGATGTGCAGGGCCAGACCAGAAGTTTGGGCTGCTTTTTGAGTGTGGTAAAAACCAATGGAAAGGTTTTAAATAGGGAATGATAACTTGATTAATTGGGATCAAGAGTAGAGAACATAAGACCATCTGGGAGGCAAGTCCAGGTGAGACGTGACAATGGCTGGACGGTGTCACAGGGAGACTGGAAAAAAGGACTGAGTGTTAGGAAGTCAGCCTTACTCACTGATGGGCTGGAAAGTGGTAGCACAGCCGGGAAAAGGGGGCACTCACGGGAGAGCCGGGTTTCTGGTACATCTTATGCATGGAAAAGGCAGGCTTAGGAGTGAATCGGCCCTCCAAAAATGTTTTGGACAGAGTTTCAGATCTCTGAGATGCTGGTGGAGTCACTAGGAAGCGGTCACTTCTAGGAGCCTGGAGCTCATGAGAGTTTGGGCTAGAGACATGCATTGGCAAAGCTTCAGCATGTAGATATTTAGAACCAGGGGGTGAATGAGTCACTAGCAAAAGAGGGCACAGGGTCGTGCATGTGGGGCTCAGCTGTCTTGAAAGTGCTGAGAAGTCAGCTGAGCTTGGCTAGCCCTCTACACATTTCTTTGACTCTGTTGAGACTTCCAGTTCCTTGACCCTCAGTGCTTTGATCTGACCACCTTTTCATACAGACATCAGCCCCTCCTGCCTATTCTTCCTGGCTCGCTTCCATCCTGGGGCTTGTCATGATAATGCCCCTGTGAAGAAGGCACTAGGCACAGCCCTGTTCTGTTTGAACCCAGCTACCTGCCTTCTCTGTACCTAAGCAGCCAAACTGCTGGAGAAAGACATCTGGTACACCAGTTTTCTCTAAGCATGTGAGTCCCAAAGAGGCACCAGGTCTCCCCAAGGCCCCCATCTAGGCTGCTTCTCAGACCCTCCATTGTCAGCTCACGCCTCACCAGTGAGGCATCCTGGTGCTCTGAGAAATAGAAGCCACCAATGAAGACATGCTGCGGGTCCATCATCTCCCTGCTTCCTGCATTTACACGTCACTTGACGCTGATCCTCATCAGTCCTCTGGACGACCCACTCCTGAGTTTTGCCCCTTCAGTTACCCCCTTTCCTGTTGGTATTACTAACCTCCCTATTTATTTCACCTTCCCCAGCAGTTTGCAAAAATCGGGCTGGGTTATGCCTGCAGTCTTGGTCTTCTCATGTCCATTGGGGTAGATGGAGGCAGGGAGGTGCTATGAAGCTGACACCAAGAAGCTGCACCATGAGGTCTTCTTGGGAGAGTCTTAGCACCTCGCAGGCGTGGGCTCTAGTGTTAGGCTGCCTTCCAGTCTCAGCACCACTTCTCAGCTTTCTGTCACTGTTAGCAGCTTCTGTAACCTCTCTGAGCCTCACTTTCCTTCCCTGTAAAGTGGAGACAGTAATAATCATTGCCTCTGAGGAGGGCCTCTGAGATGCTGAGGGGTCCTGCCTCTCGGGTGGGACCTGCATGCTTCAGACACACTCTCTCTGCAGGCTCTTCAGCTGGGCACTGCTGCGGTTCCTGAACCGCCTCTTCCTGAACGTGCAGCTCCACAAAGGCCAGATGAAGATGGTCCACAAGGCTGCACAGGGAGTAAGGCCCGTCCTCCATCGGGATGGGGATGCAGGGAGCGGGGGCTGGGCCCAGCCCTTAAGTCAGGACAAGCCATGTCAGCTGGTGGGAAAAATCCATTGCTCTTTGATGACCTTCTCTTGTGTCTCACGGTCCCGCTCCCCCGGGGCTGCCTCTAACGTCTTTCCATCATGGTCTCAACCATTACATCAGTGCATTACCTTAAAATTGTCGACAGCGCTCCTCTACTTTTGGGAAATGCGCTCAGAGGAAGAACTGCACAGCTGAGCCCTCTCTCCCTCTGGGGCTGCCCTGGGTCTGGAGGTGCAGGGTTCAGCTCCCTGAGTCTTCAGCATGGGGGGTGGGTTGGCACTTCCCTCTGCCTCTCCCCGGAGTAGGGCTCGCCGATGGTCCTCCTCTCCACCCACAAATCACTCCTGGACGGGATCCTGCTGCCCTTTGTACTGCTCTCCCAGGGCCTGGGTGTGCTCCGTGTGGCTTGGGACCCACGTGCCTGCTCCCCTATCCTCAGGTAAAGAAAGCCTGTCCCCAGACTGGGGTAAGGGTGTGGGGACATGTATGGGGGTGTGCTGTAGCAGCCCCTCAGAAGCCCTCTTCCTGACCTCTCTGCTCCCAACCTCTGCCAGCTCAGCCTGTGGGATAAGATGGGACCTACAGCCATGCCAGGCCTGAGGGTACTCAGGCAGGCCTCGGGCTAACCCTGGGTGAGCCAAGGCTTTTACTAACCTCATACTGCGTCCCGTCTCCTGAGCCCCTTCCCTCATTAGGTTCTGTCCTCTGTCCCACAGAGCTCTGCTGAGGAAACTTGGGGGGCTTTTTCTGCCTCCAGAGGCCAACTTCCCCTTGGACAGCTCTGAGGGAGTCCTTGCAAGGGCTGTGGTTCGTGCGGTGAGTGCATATAGTGGTTGTGTATGGGGCCAGGCCCAGGGTCTTATTGCTGCTCTGGCCTTGACATCTGCCACCCTTGCCCCTTCTAGGCTATGGAGCAGCTACTGATCAGCAGGCAGCCCCTGCTCATCTTTCTGGAGGAAATCCCTGGGGTCCAGGGGCCGAGGCTGTCAGCCCTGGGCCAAGCATGGCTGGGACTGGTGGTCCAAGCAGTTCAGGGGGGCATTGTTCCAGATGCTATGCTGGTGCCAGCAGCTATCACCTATGACCTGGTTCCTGATGCATCTCGTGAAGTACACCATGTGAGACCCTCCTGGCCCTGGGGACCATCTCCAGAGGGCAGCACATTACTGTTTCCTGTGGCTAAAGTCCCCCTTAGACTTGGGTCAAAGGTGTTGGTACAAAGGAAATTCAATCCCCTACAATTCATCCTGCAATACCTACCTAGGCTGTTAGCATCATCTTATTTCATCCTCAAAAAATGTCACTAAGGAGGGATTTCTCCTGTTTTATGGGTGAGAAAACTAGGGTCAAGATTGTCATGCACCAGTTTGGACCTGAGATCAAGATGAGCCGAGAAAGCGGTGCCCTGGATGAGCCAGCTCACACAGCTCTCCCTCCCCGCAGGCCTGGGTCCCGCTGGGGCTGTGGGCAGGAGCTCTGGCTGTCCTGCGGAGCCTGCGAGCCTGGGGCTGCAGCCGTAGGATCTGTGCCCGTGTGCATCTGGCCCAGCCCTTCTCCCTGAAGGTAGGGTAACTGCTGGGCAAGGCTGAGATCCCTGGGGTCTGTCTTGGAACCTCTGCAGGGATAGCCTTGCCTACCTCAGCTGGGCTGTGGCGGGTTTCCTGATGGGCCAGGGCAGGCCACCTGAAAGCCTTGTCCTGAGCAGGAATATACCATCAATGCCAGAAGCTGCTGGGGCAGCAGGCAGACCCTGGAGCAGCTGCTGCAGCCCATCGTGCTGGGCCAATGGTAGGGGCAGCGATGCATGTGGGTTTTGGGGGCAAGACAGGCACAGCCCTTTGGCCCTCACTTGTTGGCTGGCTCCCTTCCCCTCACACACACAAACATCACCAGCTCTAGCTTTCCCTCACCAAATATTCTTGGTCATCTAGAACAGTGCCCTGGGGCTGGGATGGAGAAATATCCCTCACCTTTGAGAAAACTGGGCTCCCCATGACTGATTGTAGATTTGGTCCCTTCAACCTGTGATTTGTGTCTTTATCCCAGTACTGTTGTCCCAGACACTGAGAAGGAACAGGAGTGGACCCCGGTAACTGGGCCCCTTCTGGCCCTCAAGGCAGAGGACCAGCTCCTGGTCAGGAGGCTGAGCCGTCACGTCCTGAATGGTAAGGGGGAATTAGGTCTGGGCTTGGGGGGGAGAATCCTGCAGTCCCTCCTCCCTGGACCAGCCCATTATCAGGGCCCTTAATCCCAAGTGGGTTTCTGTACCTGAACCTGGGAGCTTCCAGACAGCTATGTGAGCTTACACCCAGCCTGGCCTGGGGCTTGTTACTTTTCTGAGTCTGGTCTCTTTCAGTTGTAAATATGAGCTGTAACTGAATTGAATAATGCATGTAAGGGACTTCACACAGTGCCTAGCTCAGGATGAACCCTTAACAGAATTATCTTTGTTACTGTGTAAATGTCTCTCTGAGCCAGACACTGTGGACTAGTGGGTGGGCCTATGAGAGCAGGGAAGGTCCAAGCTCCCTGCCTGGCTCTAGGCACGTATTTGATAAATGCCAGTGCTCTACTGGGGAGGGTAGCACTCACGGAAAGACCTGCACTGCCCTTCCCTGGAATTGGGTGGGTGGGTGGGGTGGCTGCTGCCTGGGAGGCAGTGGGGAGTGTTCTTGTCTGGGAAAACTTGCCGGGTGCTGCAAGGCCCAAGCAGTGTTCCTCGATCCCGGCCCCAGCCAGTGTCATGAGCTCGGCAGTGATGAGCACAGCCATCATGGCAACGCTGCTGCTGTTCAGGCACCAGAAGGTAGGCACAGTGTGGTGGGGGGCAAGGGCAAAGGGTGGCCCTCATGCTCACTCTCCCCACTGCCCTCCCAGGGTGTGTTCCTGTCGCAGCTCCTGGGGGAGTTCTCCTGGCTGACGGAAGAGACACTGCTGCGTGGCTTTGATGTGGGCTTCTCAGGGCAGCTGCGTTGCCTGGTGCAGCACACGCTGAGCCTGCTGCGGACACATGTGGCCCTGCTACGTGTCCACCAGGGGGACTTGGTGGTGGTTCCAAGGCATGGCCCAGGTCTCATGCACCTGGCGCGTCTGAGTGCTGAGCTGCTGCCTGCCTTCCTGAGTGAGGCGGTGGGCGGTGAGTCCCCAAGCCTCAGGGAGGGTGGGGTGCATGCAGGGTTGAGGGGAATGGCTGCCTTTCTTATCTGTGCCCTATCCCCAGCCTGTGCTGTGAGAGGGCTGCTGGCAGGCAGAGTGCCGCCTGAGGGGCCCTGGGAGCTGCAGGGCATCGAGCTGCTGAGCCAGAATGAGCTGTACCGTCAGATCCTGCTGTTGCTGCACTTGCTGCCCCAGGACCTGCTGCTGCTGCAGGTCAGGACTTTCCCACCAGCCTGGCTCTGTCCTGGATCTCCCCCTCATGGCTGTAGGTAGGGCTCCATCTGCCCCCATGGCCTGACTCTGTTGAAGCCACTTGGATGATTTTTATTCCCAGCCCTGCCAGTCTTCCTACTGCTACTGTCAAGAGGTGCTAGACCGTCTTATCCAGTGTGGGCTCCTGGTTGCTGAGGAGGTAGGCGGGACAGCTGGAGACAGAGCCCCTGCCTGGGGCCTAGACACTTTCGGCCTCCCATCCCAAGTGATAGGCCACATCTGTCCACTCCTGTACACATGGCAGGACTGGATAAATGTGTGTCTGAGCTTCTCTGCACACCTGCTGCCCCTGCCTCCCACTTACCCATAGGGCTGTGACCCTTGAGGGTGGGTGTTCACTTCCTTTAACTCTGCAAATTGGCTCAGCAGGTGTCATGGTCAGGTGTGCCTTGGTCTGCCATGTGCTTGGTCTGGGGGTGCTCAGGGCTGAACATGGGCCAGCCTGACAGGGATTAATGGCTCCCATGGCCCCCAGACCCCAGGCTCCCGGCCAGCCTGTGACACAGGGCGACAGCGTTTGAGTGCAAAGCTGCTGTGGAAACCAAGTGGGGATTTTACTGATAGCGACAGTGATGACTTTGAGGAGGCTGAGGGCCGCTATTTCAGGGTACGTTGGGAGAAGCCAGGGGAGGGAGGGGAGGGAGGCAGTGGACTTGATTTCACCCCACCTGTGCCCCTCCAGCTTAGTCAGCAGTCTCGCTGTCCTGACTTCTTCCTCTTCCTCTGCCGCCTGCTCAGCCCACTGCTCAAGGCCTTTGCACAGGCCGCTGTCTTCCTCCACAAGGGACAGCTCCCTGACACAGGTAAGGCCTACACTTCTCTGGCTGTCCTCAGGCAGAGGCTGAGCTCAGGGCAGGGGCTTGGCTTGTGTGCGGCCCCGGGTCTAGGCCTTTTCTCTCCCATAGAGTTGGGCTATGTGGAGCAACTGTTCCAGTTCCTGCAGACCACTGCCCAGGAAGAAGGGTTCTTTGGTAAGTGTCCAGCACCAGTCAGACTCCCAGGTTGTAGGGTTGGCTGTTGGCTGCTGCCCCCTGCTGGACAGTGACAGTCCAACTCCAGGAAGAAGGGCTAGAGTGCCCAGGGCCTCTGGCTCCAGTCTGAACTGTGGTCTTGGTGGGTTCTTGCAATGAGGAAGAGAGAAACCTGTGCCTGCCTGCCTTCACTATAGCCTTCACCTCTCTCTTCCTCCAGAGTGTGCAGACCCAAATCTTGCCATCAGTGCAATCTGGACCTTTAGAGACCTAGGGGTAAGTCTCCCCATGCTCTTGTTCCCCTTTCTGCTAGATGTTCAGGAGAGCCCTGCTGTGCCCACCCTGGGATTTATCCAGTGTCCCCCAAGAATAGATGTGGTGACAGTAGTTAGAGAAGGTAGGATTGTTTTCCTGGCCCTCTGTCCCACCAAACACTGGCTCCTCCTACTCCCAGGTGGAATACTGGGGGTGGTTTGAGAGGCAGCACTTGTACCCCAGAACTGAGGCCTGGTCAGAGATGTCATGCCAGTTTTCTGGGAGTGGGCTTAGCTCCTATGGGGAGTGCTCATAGCCCTTCCCCATGCTCAGGTGCTGCAGCAGATGCCCAGCTCTGCAGGCCCTGTGCTCCATCTGTCTCCTACCTTTGCCATCCGAGAGAATCAGGAAAAGCTGGAACAGTTCATCCGGCAGTTCATTTGTAACTAGAAATGTGGGGTGGCACTCCTACTGAAGACTCAGCCACAGACCACAGCTGTGCCCTGGAGACTGGGAGGATGATGCACGCCCTTAGCTGGACTATAAAATCTTTGAGGTTTGGTCATCTCTTGCCTCCTCCATCTTTTGGTGTGATAAACGAGAGGACCGGCTGAGCCATCTTTTCCCAAGCCCAGCAATTTCTTTGGGGTTGGTGGGGTGTGCATGTGTATGTCCATCTGCTCTCTCTTGCTCCACCCTGTGAGAATATCCTACCTGGCTCCTAGAAACAAACCCTAAAAAACACACAGTAGTAGAACCCAAGCTGCTGCTTTAGCCTGAGACATTTATTGAGAAAGCACTCCAGCTCTTCTCCCTTACCAGGAAGAAGAGGCTTGAAGGGTCTCTCCCTGTGCAAGTCCAGGGCTTGTGGTAGGAGCCTTCATACCACCTTGTTGATGATGACCCCTAGTTCTTCAATCTCACACTGGACTTCATCACCTTTCTGTAACAGAGTGGCCGTGGGGCTATCAGCCCTCCAGTGTGACACACACAGTGCTGGCTTTCTCAGGTCTGAGCCAAGTCTTCAGGCTTTCTGGGCTTTTGGTCCCCCTCCTCCTTTAAGCCAACCTACCTTGAGAAAGACAGGCGGTTTCCTGAACACACCAACACCCGGGGGGGTTCCGGTCAGAATCACGTCCCCTGGGTAAAGAGTGACGAACCTGGGACAAAAAGGTTAGGCAAGACTAGGTGCTGAGGGGGCCAGTCAGGGATGGAGGATGGGAAGGGGCTCCATTGCAACTTACTGGGAGACCCAGGCTATCAGCTCCTCTGTCTTAAACACCATCTGGTTGGTGTTGCTGCTCTGGACCACCTCTCCATTCACTCGGCAGCAGATCTTTAAGTTGTGTGGATCTGAAACGCAATTAACACCACCTTGGGGTTCTCTTTCTCTCCAAGCCCACTGTCCTCTATACCCAGCTGGTGAATTGCTAGGTGATGGGGCTCTCACTGGCCTCCCTGTACGCTGTGCCTACTCCAACTCAGCATTTTCTGCCCAGACCCTGATCTCCTCAGATCTTCGTGTATCTCCCCCCCCCACCCCCCAAGTATAGTGCCTGTCAGTGAGTTGAGGGAAGTCCCAGACCCTCAGGGAAAGAAAAGTTGAAAAATTTTTGGCTTTAAACAGCACTTCGTTTTTTAGTGGCTGTGTTTTATACTCACAAGCACACCTGAAGGCAGCCAGAAGACAATTTAACATCACTGATGTGTGCACAGGGTGATGTGGGGCTGAATCACCTGGACACACTCCTGCCCAGATGGCTGAGTTCTGCCCTCTGTCTCCTGGCTCATTGTACCCTTGCTTGTGGCTGGTGCTGCCCTGAGGATGTGGTGACTGGGTAAGGTCCCATTAGTACTCCTGTAGCTGCCTTGTTGTGGAAAGTGTATGGGCCTGATGACAGCCATTCTCTGTGATGCTCAAGGCCAGCTTGGCTTCCCTCAAACTCAGATTCTTCTAGGTAGTGACAGCTAGAGGAAGCCTGATCCACTTACCAGGGGAACAGTTCTTTGCAATTCACTTCCAACTGTAGATGTCCTACCTCTATGGTAGTTCTCTAGAGTGGGAGTAGGGAAAGAAGCCCCCTGGAGAACCTGTGGCCCAGGCTGAGACTTGCCCTCTCAGGAGTTAGCAAAAGGCAGCTGGGGAGGGGATTCCACACAGAGCTGCACCCCACACTCCCACTTCCTGGCATTCTGCTTTTTTTTCCTTTACTCTGATGCATCTGCAAGAGTAGGAAGGAGAGTCCCAAGTGGGTTGTCAGAGACCTACCTGCCACACTGTCCTTGGTCACCAAGGCAGGGCCGAGGGGGCAGAAAGTGTCAAAGGTTTTTCCCAGCAGCCACTGCCTTCCATTGCGTCTCATTTGCCAGTCACGAGCACTCACGTCATGTGCCACAGTGAAGCCGGCCACATGAGCCATGGCATCTGTGGCCTATAGGGGCAGGGGATTTGCTAGTTTGCAGGTTAGATCAGTGACACCAATCCCCATAACAAAGGATGTCACAGCTAGGGTGCTAGGCGAAGGGCAAGGCAGAGTCTGGGAGCAAGTAGGTGTGGACACTTCCCATTGTCAGAGCAGATGGCACCACCCCTCCCACCTCACCTTGATGTGCTTGCCTTTCTTCCCAATCACCACGGCCAGCTCCACCTCCCAGTCCACCTCCTGCAGAGTGGAAAATGAGCAGTGAGCTGCTTCCTGTATTGAGGCCCTTCCTGTACTGAGGGTGCATACACTGCCTCAGGGTCTGGCTCTCCAACAGTGGGGATCAGCAGACCACTTTTGTAATCACCACAGTGGATGCAGGTGCATCTCCCCATTGTGACTGCAGAACAATCCCTATCTGCGGACAGTTTAAAAGTCACTTTTGATACCTCCAAAAAAGGATGGAGACCGAGTCATAAGAGCTAATCCACTGTGCACCAGATTTCTAAGTGCTTCAATGTATGGACTTACTTAAGTGATGCAATAAAGATCAGTAGTTAATAACGTGGGTAAAAGTCTTAGAGAGTTCACCAAAAACACAAAAAGTGAGAACATGCTCACAGCCTTTCATAATCAGCAAAGTGCAACTACAGCGTTCTAATGGCAACAGCCAGGGCTACTGTCAGAAGCATACCTGACACTCAGTGTTGATCTCTAGAACTGCTTCCACTAGAAAAGACTGGTTCCTTGGGGGAAATAACTAATACTCTAAGTCAGTGAGCAGAAGATGACCCTGGACTATCTTGGCCAGAAAGCAAGGAAGGTTCAAAGTGATGGGCTGCACTGGTCAGAGTGAGACCATTTGAGTGTCAAAAAGAATGTAAGTGATGGGGGCCTCCCCGGTGGCGCAATGGGCTGAGCGCCTTGCTGTGAAGCTGTTCGCAGCCTCTGCAGCGCGGGTTCGATTCCTGGCCTGCCAGGGAGCAACTCACATGGCGCAGCAGCACCCCCCCTGCCTCGCCCGCTGCCCCCCCAGCAGCGCCCTCGGTCCGTCTGCCTGTTTTGTTCTCTGCTCTGGCTCTGGTGAATTCTCTCACCCTCCGGTGCTTCTGACTGTACCCAGTGCTTGTATAAAATAAATAAATCTTAAAAAAAAAAAAATTCTTAAAAAAATAAATTTCTGTTGTTTATAAGCCACCTAGGCTACGGTATTTTGTTACAGCAGCCCAAACCAACCAAAACCTATATAGTAACTCTTAGCAAAAAAATATTTAACCTGACTCTAATAAGGGAACAACTGGACAAATCCAGACTGGAACTTGCTGTGATTCAACCTGCCTGTTTTCTCATAAGGTCACTCATGAAAGAGAGACAGGGGTGGGGAATGTTTGAGATCAGGAATCAGAAAACTCTGGCCTGTGGGGTGAATCCAGCTTGCTGTTTGTTTTTGTAAAGTCTTCCTGGGACACAGGCATGTTCATTAATTTATGCATCAGCCACAGCTGCAAAGTTGAATTGTTGCAACGGAGACTAGATAGAACCTAAAACCGTGTTTATTAACTGGCTTTTTGAGAAAGTTTATGGATTTCTGATCTAAATTAAAGTCATGAAAGAGAGATAACCATGTGTGGCCTTGACTGACCCTAGATATAAAAGCAAAAAAACAGTTCCCAAATTTAAACTCATCTTTGGGGGTATTTACATAAATTCCCAATTGGATTACATGGTGAGTATTATGTTAATTTTCTTAGTTGGACTATACGGTAATGGTATAATCCCATTTCTGTTTAATGTGCTAGTGAGTGACAAGGACTCCATTAGGCTGAGTGGCCTGAGGGACTGAGGAAGGACTAGGGAGGCACTAACCTGGCTCTCCGGTGGGAGGACCACCTCATCATAGGGCCCCACGATGGAGCTGGCAAACTTGCTGAAGATGATGGGCTCCTTAGGCACAGGCACATTCTGCTCTTTACAGTGGTCCACGTAATTCATGCCCACACACACTACTTTGTCTGGCCGTGTGACTGGGGCCAGGAAGGTCACCTCTGACCGTGGCAGGATGGGCAACTGGGCAGCCAGCGCTCTGCAGAGACCAAAGCAGGAGAGAGGCTGGTTGGAGCAGGCTGGTAATCCTGGGGTGCACTGGGGATGTCTTACAGCAGCTCCAAGTTGTGCTTTATAAAATTTGTTTCCTGTACCTATTAACCATCAGAGCCAGTGTGAGAACCAAGTCTGGTTATTGTCCTTTGATACTGGGATGCTGTTTATTGTTTTTCCAGTGTTGATTCTTTCCCATGTAGGTAATACATGTCCAGGTAAGAGAATTCAAAAGGTGCAAATGGGAATAATGGAAAGGCCTCTCTTCTAGTCACTCCAACCACTGTGTTCTCTTATATTTAGCTACTTTAAGTATACTCTTCTAGCATTCATTCATTTTTTTTAGTTTCAGATGTGCAGCACTGGAAATCAACATGTGTCTATACTACATTCAGCCCACTACTATCTCCTACTCTTTATGCAAATGAAAGCATACTACATTCACCTCTTAAATATACAAATATATTTTGGAGATCTTTTTTTTTTGATTTATTTATTTAAACAAGAACTGGGGTATAGGTCAGAGGCATGGGAGGGTGAGAGAATTCACCAGAGACAGAACGGGAAGCAGAACAGGCAGATGGATCAAAGACACTGCTGAGGGGATCAGCGGGCAAGGCAGGAGAGGTCTGCTGTGCCATGTGGGTATCTCCCTGGCCGGCCGGGAATCAAACTCGCGCTGCAGAGGCTGCGGACAGCTTCACAGCGTGACTCTAAACTCGCTGCACCACCAGGGAGGCCTTGGAGATCTTTTCATTACTGTATATAGCATCCTCTTTTTTTGTATGGCTGCATATCACTGCACTGTACAGATACACAGCTTGCTGCACGCTCCCTTATTGAGGGCTCTGAAAGTAGTTTCCAATCTTTTGAGATTATGACAATATGATAAACTGTTAGAAACATTGTGTATTGGCAAACATCTACGTTTTGCCAATTTAGCAACTGAAGATACTATCTGAGAGTGGCTGCAGGATAGACCAGGTTCTGTACTGCTCCCGCTTCAGGGAGTTCATACCTAATCCAGCCAAATCCAAGAACCAACTTTAAGGAAACTTCGTTGCACTCCTCTAAGGAGTCAAAAATCGAATCACCTCCCCAGCATCACAAGTGCCTCTCAGGGCCCCAGTTCTGGATCCCTTAGGCAGCCAGGGACTTAATTCCCTGGAAAATGCAGTGTGAGGAAGTATAGTTCTAGCTGTACCCCCAAATGTATGGTCTTGGGTTAATAACATGCCCTGGGCCTTAATTTCCCCCTCTGTAAACTGCGGATGTTCTAAGGCACTTCACTAAAAACAGGTGAGAGAAAAATGGGGTTATCTGCTGGACAGGGCTAAGGGTTGGATGGAGAGGGGGAACAGAGGAGCAGCTGCAGGTGATGCTGCGTGCTGATTTACCTTCTTGCCACAGACAGCGTGGTTTCTCCTTGCTCCAGGAACTCCGTCATCGTCTTGGGCAGTGTAGGGTCAAAGGCGTTGAGGTTGATGACTCCCCCACCATTCCCTGACTCCAGGCCCAGGTGAGGTCCCATCAGGTGGGATGTCTGAAACTGCACCAGTCTCATGTCTCTGGAGGGCTGACAGCACCACCTCTGAGCCTGCAGCAGAGCTGTGAGCAATCTTCTACCAGAGACCAGCATCAGAACCTAGGGAGAAAAATGTGGGTCAAAGGGGACAGCAGAGGGAGCGTGGAACCTTCATCAAGATCCTGGAAGTTCCTGGAGTTACGGTCCCAAGCTCCTTCACACCATCAGTCATTCCTGTCACACCAAAAGGAAAATGTTCCAGATTTATAAAGTTATTTCACCCTGTTACACTTTATAATTTTTTTCTCAACTCAATGCATGCAATGAAACATCCTCAGTTTCTAGAAGAGTCACTACTTCATTCCAGGGACTTAGCTAGTTGCCAGGATTCCAGTGTTCCTTCAACCAACACTTTCTGAAAGATTGCACTATACTTGGCATCACTGAGGCACTGGGATCAGCCCTGCCATCCTGCTTGCATGGGAGACCAATGCCATAAGTAAAATTCAGCATTTAGGACTATGGCTATGAAGACCAAGGTCCTGCCTTTGTCTACTTTCTTGAGGAAGTGATGATGGGCTGAACTGGCTTGGGTAAAAATGAGTAAGAATAGGAATCAGCTAAGGGGGGGTGGGGGGAGCAGCATGTGCAGTTGACCAGTGGTAAACTGGTTTCACTGCTGCCACAGGCAAATTTTTAAACAATTGATCCTGTTAGTCTACTTAAAATGCTTGCCCCATTGCTCACATGACCAAGCCAGAACCCCTGACAGGCTGCCCTAGTCTTCTAGGCAACCCTGCCCTCCCACCTCTCCAGACAGTAATTATTTCAATTTTTTTTTTTTTTTCTGTTGGAGCACATGCTGCCCGAGGAAGAAGTTGCAAAGGGCAAAAACGCTGAACCTGATAGTATCTTCTCTCTGGGTTCTGAGGCCATGTCAGTCTTTTACACTGCTGAGTTGACAGAGCCCAGCACTACACCTGGCACACAGAAGGTGCTCAGCTATTCTTTGTTGAATGAGTAAATGCCAGAAGCTGGGACTTTTTACTACTTAGAAAAGCTTGGTGAATAACACTTTGGGAGGTGTGGCTGGGCCTTCCCTCCTCAAATCACTTAGAAGGTATCAGCTGTGCTCATGCCCTGATTTGAGTTCCAGGCTCCACTCAAGACAAACCCTATTTTGTTTCTAATCTAAGTTTGGCTCCATGCCTACCACTCCCTCCCTTGAACTGTACCTGGCTTTTAAAAGTAGCCCTTTACACTCAGGCACCTGGAGGTAGTACCAGACTTCTGGTCCTCACCCTGATGATCCCATCTGCCTTGTTCAGTTAAAGACTCATTAGACCCAGGCCAATCATCATACCCCTTGCTGGTGGATGAGTCTGACCAGAAAACCAAGGGCTTACATAAGCACCAACCATGCTACTGTCAAAAGACTGATCAAGCCAATGTATATGCACACAAACTAAAATAACAGTAATTGCTCCTGCCAAATGCCAGGCCTTATTTTAAGTGCTTTACCTACAATGTCTGATTTAACTGGCTTGACAATTGTGGAAGATAGGTGCTGTTAGTCCCATTTTGCAGATGGAAAAAACTAAGGCTTAGAGAGCCTTCAGAGATTTGCCCAAGTTCCCAAAGAAAGGGAAGAGCTGGAACTTAAACCCAAGTCCAGGTGACACTGGTTTGGGCTAACAGGTCCTGGGGTAGTAGAGGGTGGGCCCTCCAACACAGGCTCTAGAGGCCTATGGACACATGTCTGCTATGACTGGGAAAACCGGCCTGCTGGCTGCTGCCTTGGGGATAAGGCTGATCACCTGCTCTCCAAGATAATCACCAGGTCCTGCGGACTGTGCCCTTTCCACATGACAATCATATGCAGGTTCTTATTCTGCCCTACAGGAACCCCTCAAGTAAAGGGTCCTATTTTACAGAAGGGGGCACAGAGATTTAAAGAGGTAAAATCATGTGCCAACATAGAAGTCAGAAAGTGCCCCCCCAAGCTTCTGCAGTAACCCCTATGCAACAGGGCCGGGGCTCGATCCGATGCTGAAAAAAGCTCCTCAAGGAGGCAGAAACAGCACAAGCACCGCAACAGAGAGGCTTGAGTTTGCACGCAGGTCCGCGCCCATCGTCCACCCGGCCCAGACCCGTGCTAGAACCTCCAGTATCCCTATATGCCCAGCTCCGTCCCCGCCTCGCAGCGCGCGCTCAGTGGAACGAACTGAGCGTTCCGCCCGGGGCGACCCGGAACCTGGGCAGAGGGCTGTCCTCGGAGAGGGGTCAGGAGAGAGACTGCGGGCCGGCGCCTCGCCGCCTGGCCCAGGGTACACCTCCCAGCCCGGCCCAGAGCCAACCTACCTGGCGGAGATGGCTGGTGCTGTCGGCTCCCTGCGCGATCGGGCTAAGGCTCTAGGGGTCCGGAGCCAAGGACACCGGACGTCTGGGTACAGGCACCGCGTCCCAAAGCCCGTGACCAGCGCCGCCAGCGGCAGGCGCCTTTAAATAAGACAGGCGCGGAGGCGGGCGCTCTCTAGTGACGTCACCGACGGCAGCCAATAGAAGGGCTCCCCTTTCGTTCCCGGCCGTCTAGTCGCGTCTAGTCGCGCCTAGTCGTGGAGGGGGCGGCCCCGGCATGGAGGCTGAGCGCCCTCCCCGGCTGCTTTCAGGCGGCAGAGCTGGACGTTTGGACTTGGCTGCTGGGGACCTTTGCGGGGTGCGGAGCCGAGTTCCCGGAGGGGCTCACTAGGCGAACTGCGTTTGCAGAAACCTGAGAGTGTTTCCCGAAATTTTGCGACCAAGGTCCCTCTGCCCTTGTCCACGACTGTCCCTGCCTCTGGGCCAGGAGGCCGGCTCATTGTTGGGCCTGTGAAAAGTTGACTTCGCTGGAGCCATTTTAAAATTTAAAAGGGTTAGAGCAAGCCACTACAGCAAAAACTACTTGTTAGCTGTAAATTCCATCAAGTCCCCAGACCGCAGCTCCAAGAGCCCAGCGAGAACTAGGATTTCCTTTTTTTTTCCTTAAAGAAAGTTAGAGTGAACTTTTACCTGCTTAATGTGCGGCCCTGCCACCTGACCATTTTGCTTGTCACCTAACCCAGAGGAGAGGCATCCAGCCCCCAGGCCCAGCTCTCAGCCTTTTAGAAAACATGGAGTTGTTTTACTTCATTTTGTTGTTAGAAAACATACAAATTACAAGAAAGACATATTGTAGACATCAAAGGAATGGGCACTTTGATTCAAAAAGGAATGTTCCACAAATGTCACCTTGGCAAAACTGGAGGAGTCTACAGTGTTACCCAGAACGCTATTAGCATTGTTGTAAACAGTCAAGTTAATGGTAAGATTCTTGCCAAGAAATTAATCGGAAGCACATTAAGTACTCTAAAAGCTGAGATAACTTCCCTAAACATGAAGGAAAATGATCAGAAAAAGATGGAAGTCAAAGAGAAAGTTCTTGGTTTCAGCTGAAATGCCAGCCTGCCCCACCCAGAGAAATGGAGAGATTGGTTCTCCATTGCTGAGAACCAGTGGAAGGGAGCCTGAGCTGCTGGACCCTATTCTTTATGAATTCATGGCCTAATAAATAAAAGAATCCTAGATTGTGTTTCTCATAGTGGAGCAGAAGCATGTTGTCCCCTCCCTTAAAGTGTTACTTAAAGCGCACTTAGGAAAACATACTAGTACAGACTATCCAAAAGGAAGCATGGTGTGAAAAAGAATTAAAAAATGATGAAATTAGCAGTGTTCGGTGGAAAAAAAATAGACAACTTTAATTAATTGTAAGTTTAATATATGTGTAATTGAAGTAGAGGAGAGGGAGAAGGGAACAGAAAAAAATATTTGAAGAAATATAATCAAGCATTTCTAAATTTGATGAAAATTATAAACCCACTATCCAAAAATCTTTTTTTTAAAAAGATTTATTTATTTATACAAGCACTGGGTACAGTCAGAAGCGCGGGAGGGTGAGAGAATTCACCAGAGTCAGAGCGGGGAGCAGAGCAGGCAGAAGGACTGAAGTACACTGCTGAGGGGAGCAGCGGGTGGCAGGAGAGGTCTGCGCGCCATGTGGGACCCTCCTCCTGTGGCCGGGGAGCAGCCGGGGATCGAACCAGCGCTGCAGAGGCTGCAGGCAGCTTCGCAACCCAGCGCTCAACCGCTGCGCCACTGGGGAGGCCCTATCCAAAAATCTTAAAGAAGTCTGGCAAGATGGTGACAGAGTGAAGATGCAGGGCTCACCTCCTCCACATATTCACAAATTACAATAAAACAAAGTCAACAAATAGTGACTATTGCATATATCAGGAACAGTGGTGCAAAGAGGTGGGGTAGGAAAAATGGTCAATTGTGTCTGCAGTGATGCTGGGGTCATGTAACTCGAGAGGAAGGGGTGGTTGCTGTAGAGAGCCCCTCTTATTAACTCAGGGATACACTCCCACTTTGATACTTTGGAAACTCCACATGACACGAGTGAAGGGGGTGCACAGAGTTGGTGTGTAGGAAAGAGGGAACGTTACCGGAGAACTAGTAGCAAGGATTCAGAGTGATGATTACTGGCTTGAACCTGAGACTCCTAATCTAGAAGAGTTGGGACCCAAATCAGTGGGGAGAGCCAGACCTGATCATTTATGTCTTCTCATAGAAGAGGCGTATTTGCACCCTGAGGCTGTGATAGGTGAAACAACTAACTTACCCTTACCTAGGACCAAAACTGAGACACTGAGACACTGAATTACTAATCTCACTAATCAGAACACAAGTACTTACATCTTAATTATAGGCACAAGAGCTCCAAGGTGAGGCTCCATAAAAGAAAAGGAAAGAGAACAATTCTTGTCTCACCTGATGTACAGTCCTCAGCCAGTGTGACAGCTAGTGCTCAAGCACAGTCTAGAGGTGGAGGCTGACATGAGCGTTATACTAAGATATTTTGACTGAGGAGTTGGCCTCAGGAGGGGATCACTGTAGCTCCCCACCACACAACTTGGGTACCTGTGGCACCATAGGAAGCTTGAACACTTGATGCTCATTGGAGGTGACATTTTGGTGCCCTATTGCCCTGGGTCCTTCCTACTTATTATCCCTTTCTGGCACCAGTGCCCCAGTCTTCTGAACAGTTGAAAAGTCAGCAATCTGAAGTAACAAACACCTAAAATCCTGGGTAAAAAATGTAAGATTATATCCAGCTCTTTATGGGAGGGAATAAAGTCAATTTATTTAGATAAGACAAGGACCCTCCCCCCTTATTACTACACATAAAAGGTAAAAATGAAGAGACAGAAGATCATACCACAAATGACAGAGCAGAAAAGCCCTAAGAGATCTCAATCCAGCAGAACTGAAGAGGAGTTAAGGGGAGAGTTATAATCATGCTTGTTGAATTAAGAAAAACAATGGCTGATGTATTAGGAACATGATAAAGATTGAGAAAATATGAGACTGCCACCAACTAGAACTAATGCATATAAAAATACTATATCTGAATTAAAAAATACAGTAGAGGACCTCAACAGTAGACAAACACACACCATGGAGAGAAAATAATGAACATGAAAGCACATATATCCCAGACATGGGGCTGAAGAAGTTGGTGGCCTGGAATGCAGACCAGGGGAAAAAATGAAACAGTCCCCCCAAAACTAGAAGGACAGCCTAGTAAACAGAACATGTCAATGATAACTGCTGTTCTCTAGTCAAACAACATAAAAAAAACTGTGGGGCTTTGCCCACAAGCAAAGGCCACATGGGGAGCCCAAATTTTCACCCTTGTCAGTCTATAAAACACCCCTGTCCATGGCCAGAGTGATGAGTGGGGGTGGGTCAGAGAAGGGAAAATGGGGAGCCTGAGGTGGCCTTCCTTCTGGGTAGTACAAAGTCACCCTTCACAGCACAGGCTATGTGAAGAGCATTAACAAGACACCCTAGACCTTCCCAGCCAGGGCAATATCCATGGAGGCCCAGTGGGGAGCTGGAGTGCCCATCCTTCCCAGCAGTCACTAGGAGCCTCTTCTCCCCAGATATCCATCCATAGAAGCTGAGAAAAGAATCTGAACTTCCACTAAATAACAAGGAAGCACGCCCCCTCCCCTGCTGTGTCAGAGGTGGCTTGCTAAAGAGGAGATCTGAATAAGATCGAGAGTCCTATGATATTCACAACATTCATATTTCAAATGAAAATCACTCATCATAACAAAAACTGGGACAATCTCAACTTGAGAAAAGATAGTCAACAGATGCCAACACAAAGATGACAGAAGTGTTAGAGTTGTCTGACAGGGTGTTAAAAATCAACCATCATAGATGATGTAATGACTGCTTATGAGCATGGTTGAAACAAACGAAAAATAAAGTCTCAGAGGAACTAAAGGGACCTCTTAGAACTGAAAAATACAATTGAAATAAAATCCAATGAATAGACTCAACAGCAGAATGGAGGAGACAGAAAAACATGAGGATAGAACAACAGAAATTGGTCAATATGAACAGTGAGAGAATGAAATAAATGAAGAGAGACAAGGGGACTTGTGGGACAATAACAAAAGATTAAACAGTCATGCCATCAGAATCCAGGAGGAACAGAAAAGGGGCAGTACTAATAAAGTTTCAAGAAATAATGATTGAGGGCCTCCCTGGTGGCACAGGTGGTTGAGCACAGCCCTGTGAAGCTGTCCACAGCCTCTGCAGTGCTGGTTTAATCCCGCCAGCTGTGGAGCAACCCACATTGCGTGGCAGACCTCTCCTGTCTCGCCTGCTGCTCCCCTCAGCAGTGTATTTCGTCAGTCTGCCTGTTCTGTTCCACTCTCTGTCTCTGGTGAATCCTCTCACCCTCCTGCACATCTGGCCTGTACCCCGGTTATTGTATAAATAAATAAATCTTTTTAAAAAAAGAATGACTGAAATTTTCCCACATTTGGCAAAAGACAAACCTTCAGACTCAAGAAGCTAAGTGAACTTCAAACAGATTAAACCAAAGAGATACATGCTAAGACACATCATAGTCAAGTACCAAAAAACGAAACAACAAAATTGAAGCCACTCACATCAGAGGATACAGTGGATTTCTTATAAAAAAAAATTGGTTCCAGCAGGCTTCCCAGTCATGCAGGGGTTAATGTCTCAGTGCTATCAAGCTATCACCTATTTCAGCCTAAGTTCAATCCCCGGCCAGGGAGATAACCCACATGGCACAGCAGACCTCTCCTGTCTTGCCCACTGCTCCCCTCAGCAGTGTTTCAGTAGATCTGCCTGTTCTGCTCCCCACTCTGTCTCTGGTGAATCCTCTCACCCCTCCACACTTCTGGCCTAGACCCCAGTTCTTGTATGCATAAATAAATCTTTAAAAATTCTGTATCTAACAAACATAACCTTCATAAATGAAGGGAAATGAAGTCCCTCTCAGATGAAGAAAAACTAAGGGAATTTGTTGCCAGCAAACCTACTCTAAAAGAAAGGCAACAGGAAATTCTCCAGCCAGGGATGGAACTCATGCTGCAGAGGCTGC